AGTTCCCCTATTTAAGCTTCATATCAAGGTTCACTGCAAGTAAAATGCATAAAAATACAGTGGATTATAATGGAAGAATCACCTCTCTGTCTTTTATGAGCTAAGCTTATAGAGCCAAGTTGTTATGGAAACAAAATATTTGGAATCTTGACTAATTTAACACTGACTCTGATACCTTATTTTTTTTTTAATAACCTATCTTAATTTTCTACCATTATTTCAACATTTGGTAACCTGTATCCAGAAATCATAATAACTAAACAATTCAAAAATTGAAGCATTGAAGCATACTATGGTCTAATCACACCATGTTTGGGCCTCATACTATTAAATCTAGAGATGTTTCATCCTTTGTGCATAGGATTATAGTATAGTATAAATGAGGATATAATGTTTTCTAATTTCTAAAAATAATTACATAGAAGGACAGGTATTACAAAAAACCACAAGTTTTAATGGTGAATAGGAGAAAGTTGACAACTGGGAAACATAGTGAAGTAAAATTCATAATTTAAGAACTGATTTTGAAAAGATTAAGGATTTTCTCAACAAAAACACTCAATGTATCTACATGCACCAAACTGGTATTTTTTTAGTCCTGTTTTCACTCAAATACAATTATTATCATAAATTACAAATCTAGTAATGGAATCCTTCCATTACTCTGTTGTGAGAGTTCCTCCCTTCCTCCCTTACAAGAACGGTCACAAAATGCCACCCTTGATGCACTTAGTATTGTGCAGAATCTTTTTCAGACTCTCACACCTGACTCATTAGGCTCTAATAGACACCATAATGTACTTACTTTCACAATCCCTATGGAAACAACAAAGGCCAAGAACTTCACACAGATCTGCTCAATTTCAGAAACAGCACTGTGTAAAGATGAAAAAGCTTGTTTTAAGGAAACTAAAAGTAGCTTCTTATGGGTTGGCTGGCAATTACTCATGGAGAGCTATGTTAAAAGATATACCTACAAAAAGGTATCCATTACCTTTTAGAACGCACCTCTTAAAATTATATTTTTTTAAAAAGTAATCTCAAAGGTTGTCAGTAGTTAAAAAAGGAAATCTATGTCAGGAATTATTAGGAAAGGAATTATTTGTATTATTATAACATCAACATGTTAGCAGAAGATCTAGTACTGTCATCTCTAAAAGGCTATAGCAGAGCCAGGAAAAAAATTCTGAGAATGGCAAGAAGGATGAACATGGGGTTGAGCTGGGTTCCATGCAAGAAAGAAATAAGTAGAACAAGTCTCTTTACCTTAAAAAAAATACAGTTAAGGATGCTATCACAGAAGTCTATACAATAATAACTAGCATGAGAAGGCTGGGTAGGAATTGACCGTTACTATTACTTTTGTTATAAGAATTAGTGGCCATCAAAACAAAAAAAACCAAAACCAAACAGTAGGAGCTAGGTATAGCCCCAACAGGAGGAAGTGGTTTGTCATACAGCAAGGTACAGGTCTATCCTCTCGGTAAAGGATGTTGTGGTTGCAGAGAGTACGTAGATTCAAGAGGAGTGTAAATAATTGGAAGAGATATGTAGCTAGGATTATTTGGTAGGCAAATCATACCAGTTTCAGAGTGTCCCCTAATGTGAAAATACTGGGAGTCTAGAAAAGTCATTAAGGAAAAAAAACATTCTTGCCTTATTCTCATTCTTCTCTGGGCATCCACCTACAGCCACTGCTGGTGAGGCTGGTGGCTTAGGCAAAGACCAGAGCTGAGCCACTGACATTTCATACACCCTGTTCTTAGCTGGAACTGCTTACATATATGTCTCTATGCTTTTATAATTTGAGTGGGTTTTTTAATAGATTTCTCTTAGCTGTGGGGTTTGGTTTTCTGCTTATGATTGGTTTTGTGGTTTTTTTTTGTTTGGTTGGTTGGTTTCTTTGTTTTGTTTTTTTATTTTATTAATCATCTCAGTTTCATGTCATGACAATTATGAAGACCACTTCTGGGACTAGGGTCTTGTTCATGTATGAAGATGGCAAGAACTCTCAGTTAAAAAGTGTGAGCTTCAGAAAACTTCACAAGCATCTCTGCATGCTGAAGAACTAGAGATGATATTTATGTAAAGGAAACAAACTAATTGCTACCAATTGCTAATTACTACCTCAAGAAATGAGGGAGGGAGACAGCTAATTGCAAAAGCTGTTAAAGGTAGAATTTATTTCATGTCAACTGCTGTTTGAAGATGTAGCCTTTTTTTCTAAGCTAAGCTAGTCTAAGCTAGGTTTTCTTTACAGTGAAAATGAAAATCAACATTCAACCATTGCCTTCTACCAAAAAAATTCTTACTTTTACTATAAGTATATACACTTTTATTAGTAGCATTTATTATGTAACAATTTCACATCAGATTTTTACTGCTAATTCTATATCCTTTAGCTTTTTTAACAGTTTAATGATTATATTTATATCATGTATAATTATTTTTCTAACAGAAAAGAGACAGAATTTTAAAACATGGACCCAGGCATTGTCACCACTCCTAAAGAGAGCCTATCTGTGGAAAATTTCAACTCATACATTACATTTGAATGGCTAAGAAGGAGAACTGAAAACCCTGCAAATTTTTATAACATTTGCAATTATGCAGTACTTTGTGTAGTTTCTTTTGTTCTAGTTTCAGTTTAATGTCTTCACCAGACGCTACTTTCATCAAGCTAAGTACGCCCTGTGGGGAACTTGGATGTTTAACTCCTACCCTGTGCTAAACTCCAAGTATAATAAAATGCAAGGTCCACAAAAAAATCCCTTAACAAATGCAGTAAATATTTATTTTATAATGATGCAGATAGTTATTGGCACCTGTTCTGACATTGCCACTGTCCCACTCTTGCTTTTTTCTTCGCTTTTTGTTTTTTTTCTTTCCTGTTTCTGGAACAACTATTATATTTTCATTAGGGCAGTGTGCAGTATGCAGTGCAACCAGATGGTAGCTGAATAAATAAATTTTTGTACATAATACAGAGAATAAAGAAGACATGCTAAGTACTGCGTAATCATAGAGAAACCAGAAGCCATTTCTTCTGTGAAATTCTATTTTTATTCCATTTTTCAAGTCACTCATTACTTTTTGAAATTTTCTATGCTTGATGTCTCCCCAGAAGTGCTTTTTGTTTTTTATGCTTGACCAAATTTACATTGCTGCTCTTAAGCAATAAGAAAAAATGCAAAGGAACAGGATTATGAGAGGAAGGAAGAAAGAGAAGAACGAAGGAATCAAGGAGGGGGTAAAGGGAGGAAAAGACAGGTAATTAAAAGTGCCATAACTGCAAATTATTGATAGTAAAAGAATATTTTGCAGTGGAACAGATATAATTTACAGGGAAATGCTTTCCTTAAAATGAAAAATAGATAAAATGGTTTCTGATGTCAGTGACTGACGTATCTGCTTCTTTTCTTCTAACAAAACACAAGCTCCATACTGGCCAAAATTCATGCTTCGACTGTCACTGTATTCTAGGGATAATTCCCACACTTTTCCTACATGACATATTTTTATAGCCCATTCTTTTCCTGACATTTCAAAAGCTACCGAGGAGAGCCACAGGGGAAACTGGCAGAGGCAGTGCAGAAACCAGAGCCCTCCACCTGCGCTCCAAAACACTTAAAAATCCACAATGTAACAAAAGAGCTCAGGCTACATCTACAAAAGGGAATCCCAGGCACTGGAATTCAGTCATCAGCACTGTTCAATTGTGATAATAATCACGGTTTGGTCTGATTCTGACTCTGACTTGAGCCATCTAGCAATGACCTAGCAATTTTGGGAACTGTTCACCATTCCCAGCTGGCAGCTCATAAGGAGGGAGGGCACTGCTGGACACAGCGAAACTGCCAGCTGCCCTCAGAGCCTGTGAAAGGGCAAGGCATTGCTTCTTGTAACTCTCTTATATATGGAGCTTTATTGATTTAGGCAATGGCATGTTTTGCCTTCACAACAAAGAGCAGGATTCGAAGGTACAGACCACTCATCATAGACCTGTGCTCTTATGCTGCAAAACTTGGTAAAAAAGCCTTCACCTTCACATGTCATCTTGTTCTCTGCTGGATATATATATATACACAGACATATATTCAGCACCATGGCTTCCCTGAGAAGGGATACCAAAAGGCATTACATGGAATCACTAAAAATTACATCGGTTTCATCACGTATCAGATTGCTCTTCCCTTATTCTACCCTTTTCTTTATCTTATCTTTTCCCTGTTTATGCTTTCTTCTCTCTGAATTTTCAAACCTCATTCTTCTCTTTTTTTCTTCTCCTTTCTGTAGGGGATACAAGCCTACCAATAGCACATAACACAAACATCCCTGAGTAGGTCAGGGAGCACTACAGAACAGAAACAGATGAATCCTGCCTTCCTCCCACATAGGCACCTTGTCCAAGAAAATTACAACTGCTTCCATACATTACATAACGTAACGTAACGTAATGCAATGTAATGTAACGTAACACCCAAAGCTGGAACACATACTCTAGTTTTAATATGATATTTTTGTATATCATATTGCAGCTTTCTCATCTCAAGTAAAGACCCATTTAACCAAAGATACTACCTCACAGAATGAAACAAAGCAGCTTTCCCTTCACTGGAGGCTTTCAGTGGTTTCATCTGCACAAGCACATGGTTAGCAAGTAAGGAGAGTGCGAAAAACCATTCACAGAGGACCACTCTAGTCCAGCCCCTCTCTGTTTTAAAGAATGGCAGAAATCCATGAGTTTCTCTCAAGAATTAAGGATAGGATTTTACTCTCTGACATCCTTGTGTGGCAGTGACTCTGACAGAGAGTTCAGAGTTGAATGTAAATTTTATTAGTTCTTTGTGTCGATCTAATACAAAATTAATTCTCCTGGTTGTTCAATGACCAGGTTAAATGAGATTAAATGTTATAGAATATAATCAAAAGAGCATTTCAACATAGAAACATGGACATTTTCCATACTATGAAGAACTACTCAAATACTTTAATCTTACCTCCCTGAGGGGATCATTGAGCTCATTCAAAATGTTTTCCTCATCAAAAATCTTGCCTTGGTAGCGGTGCTCATAGTAATCATGGATCTTCTGGCGCATTTCAGCAGGTAACTTGTGGAATGACATGTACTGTTCCACTTGTTTGTACTGTCAGGACAACAAAAAGAAAGAATCAGAAAAAAAACATTTTTTTAATCTCTAAAGACACCTACAAATCGAAAATTCATTCATGCATCCACTTAAACTTTACATATTTTATCATGGGATTGAAGAACAAAGTTAAAATCTGTGGAAACAATGCAATTGAAAAGTATTCCTCAGGAGTAATAAAGAGATGACAGAAGTGAACGGAAAAAAAAAAAGCATAGCATCAGGAAACAGAAAGTGGAGAAAGAGAGATGCTAGGACTCAGAAGACTCAAAAGGACCTCACTTCATTTACCTTGTATATTTGGTTTCCTTGTTTCTACTAGTCCTTTGTCTTTTGCTTTGTTTGCTTCCCTTCTTCGGAAGTCTTTTAAGATAGTATAATTTTCCGAAAAGAAAGTTGTGAACCAACATACTCTTTTGTACTGTAATAAACTGCATGATACATCTGAAACCCAAACAATGAAGTTGCCTCGACAGCAGATGGACAAGTACTGCTTGTCCAAGACTTTTGCACCTCAGATTCACCATCCTTCTTTCATGACGAGGATAAGGCACTGAGATACAGAAGGATAAAAACTCTCTAGGCTTATAGGCAAGTTAAAACTTGGCAGAAACTTGTTTAACATATGAAAAGAGTCTTTGTTTAATTTTTCTTCATTTTTTAATGCCTAATTAGGCAATTTAAATTGTTTTCAATGAAAAAGCCAATGATGTCTTAATTAGGATTAGCATCTCTGTAGAGCAATTAAATGAATTTATACTGTACGTGCACTCCTTACAAACTGCAGCACATGTCCTTTAACTTGTATAATTGAAGACTGCTCCATCCTCTTGGGACTGAAATTAGCTTTTACTTTGCAAGTGGCAAAAGATTAGATGAGGTCATGTGTACAACATGCATTCTGCAAGTAAGAGGCAAGTAGTTTTGCATGGGACTATTTATTAATGTATGATGGAATATATATACATGTCTGATTTTACCTCTGTACAGCTATTTTGCACCTCTGAAGCAAGAATTCTTCACTACCCTCCTTTAGATGTGCAATTTAAATTTGCATGCTCATCATTGGTTTCTGTTCTGATATGGATCACACATGAATGACAGTTCTGGGTCACCAGAAGACAGTCATACTCTAGCATAAACAAAGTATTGCTTCTAAAATTACTCTACTAATCAGTTACAGTTAATCTAGGCATGGATTTACTTAGAGAGAAGGGGCATGAGATCGTCTAGTGCTCTATATATCTCACCAAGGTGGCCACACAGCCCCAACTGCTGTGCAGTGCTCCAGTTTTTCTGCAGCGAAGCCAAGGAGAAAATTCTGCACTGCGCAATGTCCCCTTTGTGTCTGTCCCCAGCCCCACATTGCTGTGGCCTGGTGTAAGGATAAGTAAAATGTGTCACATGTTGTGGGGCACATGGACAGGGAAAGGACTCTATGCTCCCTAGCGCAGGAGCTGCACCCCTCTACTCAATTTTATTTGCATACAAATATGCCTGAGCAACCCTGAAAGAGTAATCCTTACTAATAAAAAATATGCTCACTGGGATGTATAATGCAAGAGAGCTGCAAGGTCTTTTATACCAGAATGACCTTGAAAAAGAGAACATACGTGCTACAAGAAATTTGCTTTGCCAGCAGTTTACACTGCTCCCCTTCATTAGAACTGCTATTTGAATAGGTGCTTTCTCCCACACAAGCAAGTTCTTTTCTCCACCAGGATTTATGCTTACATATGAGAATTTTAGGGAAAATAAAACCAGTAGGATGTAGTGCTTGTCGCTGATGTGACTCAAAATGTTTCCAAATTAATAACATGCAGAATAATAGGGGCAGCTGCATTAGAGAAGTTTTATTTAAGAAATCTACAAGGAGGATAGTGTCTCCCACAATACCCAAAAATACATAAACATCTACATTACCATCAAGTCTTTATCTCCTGTCTGTAGGCTCAACATGAGCAAGCAACCCATGCTCTCAGCCCAGAAAGCCAACTGTGTCCTTGGATGCATGAAAAGAGGGGTGGCCAGCAGGGCAAGGGAGGTGATTCTCCTCTACTCTGGTGAGACCTCACCTGGAGTAATATGTCCAGTTCTGGAACACATAGCATAGAAAATTCATGGATCTGTTGTGTGTATGAGCAGGTCTAAAGGATGGCCACGAGCGTGATCTAAGGGCTGGAGCACCTCTGCTACGAAGACAAGCTGAGAGAGTTGGGCTTGTTCAGCCTGGAATAGAGAAGGCTCCTGGGAGACCTCAGAGTGGCCTTCCAGTACATGAAGGGGCTACAGGAAAGCAGAGAATTTTTTCAAGGGCGTGGAGTGATAGGACAAAGAGTAATAGCTTTAAACTGGAAGAGGGGAGATTTAAGTTAGATACTAGGAAGAAATTCTTCCCTGGGAGGGTGCTGAGACACTGGAAGAGTTTGCCTGGGGATGTTGTGGATGCCCCCTCCCCGGAAGTGTTCAAGGCCAGGTTGGATGGGGCTTGGAGCAGCCTGGCCAAGTGGGAGGTGTCCCATGGTGGCCATGGTGGAACTAAATGACCTTTAAGATGCCTTCAGACCCAAACCATTCTGTGCATTTTTGTTGATCAAAATATCTGTCCCTGTGAGTGTATAGTGTATGACCTTAATATCTTGTAATAAATGTTTTCCTAATCTTTCTCAGTGCCATTTTGACTCCTATTTTGTACCATCCATGCTACTACTGCTCCTTTCTTGACATTCCATCATAGCATTCCTTCAAAACTTCTAAATTACTAATTTCTTCAGCAACTGATACCTTTCACTAATTCAGTCCAAGTGCTGATTTATTATTTTTTAAAATTTATTCCTCAGAGCAGTAAGATAATTTCTTCAGCCTACTGCATGTTATTGGCAATACTGAGGTTCTGCAGATTAGTTGTCACTATGGTGTGGTCATATGTCACTTGCAAAAAATGTGCTAAAATGAAGATACAAAGAGAGCAAAATTAATGTGGTCCTGTTAATTTTGTGTAATAAATTACTAGTGGGTACCACATATATCAATAATGGTTAGAAATGTAGATGTTTTTCAATTTAAAATAATTATATTGTTTTTTGTTGTGGGGTTTGGGATTTTTGTGTGTGTGTGTGGTTTGCTGGGTTTTATTTTACTCATGAAAAATATGCAAATAACTTAAGGAGAACTGAATTACTTTCTGAGAAAAAATTACGTGTCAAAAACGTTTTTAAATTCTCATTAGCACTCTGAATTCCTTGAATATACATGAAAATACAGTAGCTTCTTTCTCTGATTTTTCTCAGTGTGTTTTTACATACAAAGTTGAGAAGCTGTCAGTTCTAAGTTAAATTTTGTGAAAATTTGTATTTTAAGCGGAGTAGTTATTACAGTATTACAGTATTATCCCAATACAGACAATATTCCAATGAAACCTGTAAAATAGAAACCTGAATGCTGATGTCTCAAAAAAGTATTTTAGTATGTAAGTAGAGCTTGCTGAGTCCTTTCCTCATAACATTTTTTATCTAGTAAATTGCCCTTTTTAGCTCAAAAAATTCTCAGATTCCTAATAATGTTTACAGCTCAACATTCAATCCTTGGTAAAATAAGCCATAGAAACATATGAAATATTTTAATATTAGCAATTAAAAACCATGAAACCACATTCGTGTATGGTACCTGGACATGGTCACAGCCAAACGAATACCTTTCAGGAACAAGTGCCAATGTCCGATTTTTTCCACAATGTCAACAATCAACGGCTTTGGTAGCTGACTAGTTTTTCAAAGGACATAGGTCCCTGAACCTTCACTTGAAAACCCAGCTTGAATGATACACCTTTTGCACTTCATACAATAATTGTGTCTTTGGCAATAGAGCCTCACTTCTAGGAGAGATACCCCTCCAAAAACTGTGATCATCTGTAAAAATATTTATGTGCTTTTTTCTTTTGCCACAAATATAATCCTGACCCTTAAAGTAGTACATTAATAATATATTTCAATTTTACTGCTAACGTACTATATAAAATGTTAATATAAAATGAATCGCATAGCGACAGGCTAGGAAAAAAGAGGAAACTGCACTTTTGTTGGAGGTTCACATCCAGTCAAAGCCATAGCCTCATGAATACAAAGATTTCAATGAGATGTGTAAAAAATCCTACGTAGTGATTAAAAATGTAGAAAAAAAGAGCTATCATTTGTAAAATTCTTCTGCTTAATTAAGCAAGTTCTGTCCCACAATTTAGATGCAATAAATTAATCAGTATTCTTAAAATAATTTGAAAATGCTCATCTGCCACGTATATAACAAGAATCTAATCAGCATTATAATATGCAGGAAATTTTACTTACTGAGAAAGAACAGAAAAGTGAGAGGAGGTAACTCAATCAAGGTTAAGCCTTTCTAAATAATGAACATCTAGTGAACCATCACAATTCTGCACAGTTTCCAAACTAATCAGGAAAAACTGGTTTCCTGATTTTTCCCCTGCTACTGCGAAACATCACATCATACAACTTCCTATAAACAAATCAAGCCATCTCAAGCCCAGCTGGACTTTCTCCATCAATGTTTTAAGAATATTGTTTCAAGAATCTCACTGGTCTTTTACATAGTTCACAAACTTATTTTAAAATTCAGTCTAAATGTAGGCAGAAATAGTTTAAATGAACTAATGATAGAGTAAGTAATTATCTAGCAGCTCCAAAATATCTTCAGTATTTCTTTCTGGAGTGTTTATAGATCATGTCTCTTCCCAGCCTCGTTCAAGTAGTTTATTCTACTTTTCATTCAGAAGACAGCATACTGGTCCTCTTATTTTTCACCCATTCTAGTTTGAGCTACCTTTCTCCAACTGCAATTACTAGAACTGCACGTATTTTAGAGGAAGTCTCACTGATTCATAGCTCAAACTGTCTAGTGGAAAACCACAATGCATTGAAATGGTTGTTTGCAGTCATTCTATGAGCAGCTTCATCACTCAGATTCCTTATTTTCTCCTTGCC